CTTCTACTTAACTCATCTGTTCTTATAATTTCAATTTTGTCCATTTTATTTGACGCAACCAGTATCATGTGGCCGCAATCTGTCTACTAATCATGGAATTTGACTTGCAGAGTTCTTGGACAGCTCGGAGACAGCAATGAAATCTACCGACTTGGATTTAACAGCAACTCCGTTTTACTGCCTACCCCACGCAACAGAGCCTTCAAATTTCTTTGAGATAAGAAAAAGAAAGCACTGAAGAATTTGAGGAAAAATGACATCATCATCATTCTGCTGGCTGACAAAAGACGACAAACCGTCACCGTGGACATGGTGGGCTACATAAACAGGAAAAAGCCGCGCTCAGTGACACTACCACGGTTTGCGCTCTAGAAACTGAGCAGAACAAAAAGTTTGTGAGCAAAACTAGTAGGAAACTGAGATGGCTGAACGACATCCAAGGAACACTGGAGAAACAGAGCCGAAGTATCTACTTCCCCAGGCTTTTACGATCTTCGGAAAGTAAACAAGAAGACCAAACTGCCGTGACCAGTTGTGTCACTTCCAACATGCCAGAATATAACCTTTCCAAACGAACTATGAAGAAAGATCAAATGTCTTATCCGTGAACCACAGCACTCACACACAACGCAATAGTTTTCGGACAATCTGAAAGCATGAAAAAGGGTGAGGATGAACCAATGGTCTCATTGTGTCTGAGCTCACTGTTCACATCTGTGGACCTCCGTTCCGCAAAGACGGCAGTCGTTGAACTATTAGTTGGTCGTGGGTCCCCTGAGGAATCCCTAGAAAGAAACCTCTGTGAACTGCTCAACATTTGTTTGGTCACGTACTTTGAATTCAACGAACGACTGAGAAGAGTACCAATGAAACCCCCACTTTCGAGGTTCATTGCCGAGAACACAAAATGAAAAATTAGGCAGGGATTATATTACCAATGGACAATCCCAAATAATGAGTATGTTATCTAAAAAATGCTTTTTTCGACGACGGAAGGGACAACTGTCGCTTTTGGATGTCCTCGGCACAAGGCTGACAAAACTGGAAATGTAAAAAGACGTCTACGGAAAGACTACGCATTCAGATCAAACTCTAAACTATCACAGCAACAATCCAAACTGTCACAAACAGAAATGCATTTTAATCCCATTCAAACGAAGTGAGACACTTTATAACACAGTTGCGTCCAAAGCATAATGAGGGATGTGCTTTTTCATAAAGGAAACTACTCACAAGGTCGTTGGAAACTCCTCGACAGCAGCCTTGTGAGTAGTTTCCTTTATGAAAATATGCTGCGATATATCGAATAGTGTGCCAACTGAAACATGAGGTGGCCTGTGTGCATTACTTTTAGTTGGAGAATTTCAAAACTAAGAGACTCACCTGAGTCTCCCGTGAAAACCATATTGAATTGCAAATGAATGTATTTGTCGAAGAGAGGTGTTAAGTCTTACACAAAAATTCACTTGGGGATTGCTGAGAGCAACTCAACAGATATGACGTCCCAAAATGGTAGCAATTTCACTATTATTCATCCACAACATTGCAGAGACTACTGCAAGGATAGTAAAACAGCAAAATGTAAGAATGGTCTACAGATCTACAAAAACGCTCTGGAGAGGATGAAACAAACAAATATAGAAACCTGATGCAAACTATGGAATTCGCAGAATTTAATGCAAGAATTTAGACAAACAATATGCGATACAATCTTGAAGTAAAGTGTCCATCATAGTCAATGAACTCAGGCTTGGCCCTAGAAAACACGATCAACTTTCGTTCTCGAACGAAGAAAGGAAAGAACAAATTTAACTGGATCCGTTTCAGAATACCAGGACAAGCAAGAACAAGAAGTGAGGTTATGGATCCCCGAAGCTCCCCTGCTAGCATAATCAACCTTGTCTAATAACCTCTGAGAACGAAGCGAATCCGGAAAAAGCGAATTCCGAGCCGGAAGCATAGAAGAGGGGGAAATGACTGAAACGAAACAAACTTGGGAAGTAATACATCAACACATCATAGAGCCGGAATGCAGACCATCACGCAGTACAGATCACGAGCGGACCAACCGGAACAGAAAGGCTAAGCAACTGTCGTAGTTCTTAGTAGAGCAAGCGAAAGGAAGAATTGCAGACCAAGTCCCAACGCAAATCAGACTGATCAGACCGGTTCTATGCTTAACCGATCAGGTTGGATCATAAAGCGGCTTCTTATTAACTATGAATTCAAAGACATGAATTTGAAATCGACCTGCTCAAAGGTGCATTAATGATATCCGATCAAATCCCTATCCATCGGTGAGCCCGGTGAACAGTTAGGCAGCCACAAGACCAAATTTAATTGCGTGCACCCGAGCTACCAATAATCTAACACAGTTCCTTGTAGAACTATATCCAAAAACTCTTTCCGATAGTCCCCTGAAGTGAACCCAGTTAGTACTTTCCATCTAAGATTTATTCTACCTTAAATTCCCGGGACAAAAGCGTATCTGCGTGTAGAATCACTGTCGTGGATGCTAGGTCCAGTTTCAACACCGTCCCGAAAGTTACAACCTCTCGCCTAATAAGAACCATGATCAAAATTTTTCATAACCGGGTTGTGCAGGCTTATTGGTAGCTTAGTGTTTTACACGTCCCTCGGAAGCATGGGATAGGGTTTCCAAACTCGTCCTTAGGAACAGTACTAGATATTTATTACTCTTGCATTTATACTACTGGTACATATCAGTAAAACATTTGTGAATCTGTGTTGCTCGATGACTGTCGATAAACAAGCAGTTTGTAGTTGTTCGCTTCGCTTGTTAAATCTAACAAGAACCAGCGGACTGTGTGCTCTCAACAGGACGTTGTCCTACGGAAAAATAGAAGTTTAACACTCAGTATCTGTTCAGGTTACTATACGTTGTTTCATCGTAGTCTCCAACCGTTTTGCCTTCATTTATCACTGTAACTGCGAATCATACTGAAACATCGGCCGAATCAAATCAAGTCCGGTCAAAAGGAGTTCACTGCTGCGGCTGGATGACATTTCAGCAGTATCATTTGGGCAGTCTAGTCAACATGCAGTTGAGTAACAAGGCTGCTTCAGTTATTAGTTTCAATGTGGACTGGACCTGCTGGAAGTAAGTTGACAGTTTCTAAGGATGCTTCATTTGTGTACAAACAGTATAATCCCGTGATGCTCCGACGACAAACAAGAAAGTACTGTGACATTTCACGCCTTGGATCCATATACTTCTCAAAAAGGTGTTTGGTCTTCATTCACGAAACACCTGCAACCCTGAGACGAATAGAGCGTGAACTGAAGACTGCGAAATGTAAACAGAATGCCAAGCTGAATAAAAACGTTTTGTTGTACCAACTTGATCACGCCGATGCGGTGCATTTCTGTAAAGACCATGTAGGTAGCAGATAATTACAGACAACAGATTTAGCGAGGACAAATGTGAAATGTATATGTTAAGAGTAGTGTACTGCAAATGGGGAATTTCTCACTCTAGTAGAAATCGGGATTTGAAATGGCGAAGCGGCTTCAAATATTTAAGAACCAACCGACGAAATAGAGGATATTTATCCGGTTCTTTTGATTCCGAAGCATAATAACGCATTGTTCTTCACTTCGCGTTTTGTCTTTCAACAGCCGAGTAACTCATGCGCTTCGCTTTGCTGGGGGAATTTCAAGCTGTGAATAAAATACTAAGCTAGCAGAAAGGCAGAATACGACCGAAAAGCTGCTAAACCAGGTGTCGTAGCGGTAATCACTGGGCATCCTCACTAAGCTGATCCCAGTTGTTGTTAGTTGCACTTGCATGAGGCCCAAAAAGGTTTGTAGATCTCTGAAGAACAGGCAAAATATCTAGAAAAAGTAGTGACAAATATGTGTTGGTTGTGGTGCTTGAATACTATACACACTGGGTTCACGAATGCCATAGATAACATGGGAATGTGTAGAAAGATGAATCTAACGTGGTTAGAGATTTCACATCCCTTCACATTGGGGCCCAGCTTACGTTGAAGCAAAAGAGCTTGTTCGGTTGGTCGTGAAGCTCATTCCGATCTGCGCCAGTCTTTTGCCCACCGGTGATTGCTACATGGAATATCTATCCCTAATCATTTTGATTTTATTCTCCCATATCTTGGAAAACATAGTAGAATCCCTGGCGTGTGTGGGGACAATATGGCGGAAGCTAGCTCCAATTCCATCCGTGTCCCCAGAATCGCACACGCTGATGTGTGCTGTAAAGAGTGGAATGGATTTGATAAGACGAGCTTTGTCACTTGGAAGACTTGATATCTTGCACCGAAAGAAATAAAAGCGTCAAAAATATTTCAAGGCTTAGACTGCTTCATTAAGCGCAAACCTTGCTTCGCTGTCATCCCCTTGGGGATCTCCAGAAAAGGCACGATGTTGACAAGTTAGGACATTCATAGTATTTTCACGGAATTTCGGTTAACAAACGATTTACAAAGATTTGAACCCGGAAATTCCCAACTCCACAGTCATTATGCCTTCCATAGAAGCCGGCAGTTCACATTCGCCCCCTTCAATGTTTAAACAGTGTCGCCATTCTTTCAAAATTCAAGCGCACACAATGGAATTCGGTCCAGACAAACAAGTTCATATCCCACCCCCTTAACAAAAAAACAAGTACACGCTACGTAATCTGCTACATTGGAAAGTGCATGATTTCACCACGTTTTGCCACCCAGGCATTTATCCGGAAATTCCTAAGTCTGACAATACTGGTCGAGTAGATTGGTTGTCTGGGTGTATCTGAATCGATGCACCTCTATCGGTTCATGTCCAATCAGAGCGTGGCCACTCTCCGGCCATTGGCCATCCCAGTGCGTGGTGCACTAGCCATGTAGACACACCTCTGTGCACAAATTCGAAACCGTGGCCAGAGCCGATTCAAGTTTTCATTGATGGACGAAAGCTGTAGATGAGCACTGAGGAACATGAATGATCGTGTGAACACATGCGTCATAAAATGCGTCGAGATGTCGCAGGCAATGCAACAAGAGGCAATTGCAGTCTCCACAACCGCTCTACAGGAATACAACATTGAAAAGGATGTTGCCAAGTACATCAAGAAGGAAGTGAGTCCGCCATTCCGAGCTCTAGCTGCAATCTGTAGTTTGATAAACGATATGGTCCCCCTTGGCACTGCATTGTAGGTCGGAACTATGGAAGTTACGTCACGCATGAGATGAATCATTTCATTTATTTCTACTTAGGTCGAACTGCTGTTCTTCTATTCCGATCCGGATGACTCATCAATGCAGCGTGCATGCAGAAACTACCGGCGTTCTCTTTGTTTGGCTTATATGAGCATATTTTTTGTTGAGCTGTTGAGTTTATCCTGCACAGCACGTGACTTTCCCATGACGTTTGTCCTGGTGACTCCCACACCATTGGATGTTAGGATTCAGATGAATTATTTTGGAAACTGCGTTGAATTCAATCATCGGGTGAGGAGAAGCTGTCTAGATCTTGTACTAAACGGTAACGTTCCGACGTAACTCTTTCGTTGCATCTTTCAAGATTTCGTTTATTTAACATGCGAAATCTGCGTTTTGGGCTCCATCGTGTGTAGACCAAAGCTTTGAAGAGAGAGAGGAGTAACTGCAATCGCAGAGTCGAAATTCGTCCCACCTTTCATAATCTAAAGTTAAATGTTCTTGCTTTGAAATTTCGTGGTTTGATAAACCGGAAAGGCGGGTCCACAGATTGGTGCACGTCCTGTTGGAGTGAATCTCAAAATAGGGTTGAATAACGTAGATACTTGAGTGACAAGGAACCTGTCTGGACGATGGCCTCTTATCCGTGAACCAAAATGGGATTGGTCAACTTACCAATTCTGCCAGATTACTGAAAATTCCTCAAGTTTTAGATTGGGTGGGAGGTTATTGACCAACTGATGGCTTACATACAGTTACATTTTTCGAAGATTACCTAGGAATTTTGTTCGACGAATTTATAGGTTCGATTGGAGTATTGGTTAAACCGTACCGAATGGAATATACCGTGTGGGTGCTCCTGCAGATTGACGCAGGTGGAACTTTTGATCACTATTGCGGAAGTCGCGTGAAACGTTGTAGGCCATATGAATGTCTATGAATTGTTGATGGCTTTACAGAGAAGTGAAACTGGAACCGTCTGGAACATCTGATTTATTTTGAACTTGATTGGTGGTTGCTCGATGAGTAATGCTGTCTGTGTGTGTGCGCGTAAATATACAGCCTACTAGCCGGGGTTGACCTTCGATCACGATTGGTTGTTCTGTTGGTCGGTTCCATTGGCTGTTCTGTTATCCTGTCCTGATTGATCGATGAACAGGTGAAGTGTGAGCCTGGCCTTCCCTGCCGTCGTGCTCTCATCGATGCGGAAGTGACCTCTTTCGATGATCCCTCTGGATTCCGGATTTTTCCCTTTGTTGATCCGATTCCAAGCCTTTCCTTGATTCCTGGTTTGTGAACCTGATCTTTGGCCCTCCTTGAGTATTCCGGTGGAGTTGGTCCTTTGCACGCATTGGTGCGTAACTTGGGTCCAGTTCAATGTATCAGTTGACCGTAGAGTACCATGCCTCCAGAAGGGCTTGTTAAGCAACCGGTAGATTTTAACTGGGCAGCACGTCACTTTTGACACAAAACTTCATTGGGCCAAGTATGGTCAACTATGGTCAACAGTATGGCCAGGTTTCAAGGCAGATGATGAACTAATCTGTAAGACCTCGTCAGTCTACCGTAACAGATTAGTGTTGAATGTTACTTAAAGTGTCTTTTCTGTTGGTTTCGTTGGTGGGTTTGGGGAATTTCGAACTATTTTCAATCGAGTTTGGTTACTTATTTTTCCGTTCAAGGTGCTTAAATTGATGAGTTATTTGTCATTGGTATATTCCTTTAGTCTGTATGGGCTTGTGAGTACTACGCCAACTTAATTGCCGGGGTGGATTTGGGTGAGATTAAGTGTACTTCATATCCAAGCTACTCCTGTCGACGGCTGTTTCTGATACGCGCGCTCCACCACGTGTCAGCTCGTCCACTGAACGCTTGCCAGCTTTACGCCTTCCATTCTATTCCCACTGGGAGGCTTGGAGATTTCCACTGGCTCGGACATCAGTCTGTGTGACGTATGGCGTGCTGTTCACCTCAAAATTTCAATCATTTCTAAATCCAATTTATGCCTCGTGTCCAGTGCGTGTTCCAGCATTGCCGAATCTTTCAGTAACGCTGGGCATTCATCTGCTTTTCTCGGCGGCCTGTTTACTTTCTTCTGCGCACATCGATTGTTCCACGACCGTTTGTCCGATGTAGACCTAAGTGCAGTCGTTGCAGTTTTATGCACTCACTTCGTGAATGTGTTTTCCGGGAAGCGTCCTTTCAATTACCTCATTGTGGATCGCAGTGTTTCCTTTTCTACAAAGTCATGTTTGGAATTCTTCGAATGACTTCCGATATCACTGATTTGTATGAAATAACAGCAGTTCCAATCCATTCCTGGATATCCACACTCTGAAGTTGACTTCCGATATCACTGATTTGTATGAAATAACAGCAGTTCCAATCCATTCCTGGATATCCACTACTCTGAAGTTTGTTCTTTACGTCAATCTTCTGAACACAAAGCCCTTATTCTACTAAACCATAATGAGGCAATGCTAGTGAATAGCGACTTCGGATGGGCAAACGTGTATTTCAAATTCGCCACAGTGTCAGTTGACTTCACATACACTGTGGCTTTAGTTCACCTCGATGTTTTACTGCGTGCAGTCTAGGAAGATCAGTGAACCCGAAGTTGAATCTATCTCCAAATTTGGTCGTCTATTCCTGGGTCACTCAACACAGGATTACAGGAAATGCAATTAATCACAGACCATCCCACTAAAATCCAGGATTGGAGACCGACGTTTCGCAAAGCACTAGGCTGGCCAAATGAGCTGATCATGCAGTACAGAAAATCGCAAGTTCTTTGTAGGGTAGGTAGAAAGAGAATAATAGGTTTTTGAGGAACGGCGGCTGTAAGGATGAGGCTCTAAACCAGGTGCACGAAGGCAAGTTGTATTACGGGAACAGTGGTACTTAGTACTAGTTTCTCGGTTTTTAGGTGCGAAACATGCCCGTTTTGACAGTCCACCGATAGAAAACGCAGACCAGTTTCAACGCCAGCGGTAAATGACGTCGCAGTTCTCGTTTTCGTTATAATTTTGCTTTTGGGTATTTAATTGTATGTACACTCAGTTGATTATGCGGCATGCACCCAGAGCGAACGAGTAGTAACATTCTGTTGATTGTGTGAAACAGACCCAGGTTTCACTTTGAGAATATGAGACGGTGGTATTCCACTTACTAGAGGATGGACCAGTATGTTACCTAAATTTGATGTTGGTGTGAAAAGGGGCGTTCTTGAAAACTTTGAGGTGTCAACTTTCCCCGTAAGTTGACGGCGATACAAGGTATTGCAAAAGTGGAACGAATGAAGACATACTTTGTTTCCATATCACAGTCACTTGAATGGTCTTACCGTTTTCCTAATGTGATTATTTTGATTGGGCAATATTCGATTCGAACTTTGTTGTTATTCAACAATGGTGAAGGTCTAATTCACATTGGATTTGGTGTTTTGGATGAAGAATGTTCGAGCGGGGAGCTTACGCCATTTTCCTCATACATGTCCACTATTTGGGCGCAGAACAGAGTTGTATGTCCACTCGATAAGCCTATAACAGATGTGTCTAACAGTTGACGCCCATATTTTTAAGGAGTGCATTTTCAAGACAATAGTAATATTCTATAGCAAAATACACTCATTTGCAAACAAGTTTGGTTTTAAGCAACTGAATACGCTGCACCAGATCACCTAAAGAATTTTCAGTAACCTCATGAGTAGTGCATTACATATATACATGTATCAGCTACCTGGAAAAATTACAAACGCGAGATTCATCTGGACTCCAGATGAGTCTCTCGCAAAACCAAATTTGTTTGCAAATGAGCGTATTTCGCCAATTTCGTGCCACTTGGTTTCTAGTGGAACATAGGGTCGACGGAAATTCGGGAGCTGCGCCTACCTGATGAGCCCCAAGAAGAGCGAAATCGGTCGTGGGCTGTCGAAGAATTTTCGGCAACCTTATGAGACTGTAATCAAAACCATCCCTCGAGAAAAATCGCTTGCACTAGAACTGGTGTAGATGTCGGTAATCCTGCTCCAAGTATTTGCATGCTCAAAGTACATGGGTGGCCTGTATTGTGGGACAGTGGATAAACTAGGAGTTTTTTTCGGTGCTTTTCTAACAGATAAGATTTTTAGGCCCATCTCAATCACGTACATGGATGGGTTAATGACTTAACTCTATTAGAACAATGAATAAGTTCACAATCACCATTTACCAGCATTTATTTCAAAAACTAACATCGGCAATCTAGAGATAGGTTGCATACCGCGGTCTGGTGGTTTTGTTAAAAAGTTGGTGGAATGTTCTATAGGGCCTTTCGGATCCTTCTGCCATAAAAACACTGCAGCTGCCTCCACATTTGCGGCCTAAGCTCAAACAAGCTCACAGATATGAAAAATTTATGTAAGATAATTTGAGTTTTTAGAAAACATGCCACTGAACAAGTTCATATGTATAGTACAAACCTTTCTATGTAAAACTGCGTATCTATCCTTGTACCGGCCGATGCTACTGACGAGGTACGCAAGTAGCCTGTGGTCGTGTCGAAGCTCCGTTCCGCGTCTAATGGAAGGCGAGGTTTATTACGGAACTCGTGGAACTTCTGTGCAGTACTTATTCGCATTTGTGCAGTAGTCAATGAATATCCATGAAAGTTCAAGAAGACGCGTGAGTCGGTCCAATTTTTACAAACTATGTGCACACGAGACGTTTAATTTCCTGTCCAATAGGTTGTAACGTTTTAGTTGGTGTTTGCCAATAAACGACTTTTCTGCAAAGAGCTTCCTTCCCGCTACCCAACTTCCACTTTCGAATAACTGATTTAATATACTGTACTCAAATAACTTCCGCCTGGGAATTGTAGCCAGCTTTGGAGGCTATTTCAGAACGATGCATTCCAGTAAATACCATAACGGCTACTGTAAACCAAAAGAGACACAAAGGAAAAATCGTTATTTGTAGCGCCTATATGCCCCAGTCATGGCACTCTCCCTCCAACAAAGGGAGATGTCCGAGATAGAGTATTAGGCCATACAAAAGTGCATACCATGAGATAAGCCATGTCTTATCGATCCATCGATCGATACTGGCCCGCGCACGAGAGGTGACACCAGTGTTGCATACTACATGGTTGTGTCCAGAAATGGTCAGGCGATTACAATAAGAACGACAAGAACAAGAACAGTTATGAAAACAAAGAACGAAATTGCGAAGAACCCCTTCCGGCCAAGAACTGTTGTTAAACCGTAGTTTGGTTATACTCGAAGAAGATTCAATTGCGAAAGTAGGATGATTGTA